CTACAAATTTAATTTTACTTTGATAAAGAAACAAAAATCACCACATGCAATGCTCAGACATTTTAAATTGTAATATTTAAATACCAAATAGTCATTGAGAAAAATGCCACCCTTTCTAAAAATAATAGAAAGATCTCATGAAATCCTTATATGTTCAAATCTTCAAATTAAAGGATATAGACGTAACAAGAAGAAAGCTTATACCTGCTCTTGCGGTCAATGGGATGGGAGCTGCAAGGGGGCACAATCCAACTAGGAGTCCAACAAGTATAGTATAATAACAAGAAATATAAAGTAAAGGATAGAGAACAAAAAATAAAGGGATGTGTACAACTGTCTACAAATAAAACAAACAAAGTTGAGGGAGATAAACTCTGTCACGAGATTGAATCAAACAAAGAGCTCAATAGCACATCCTCCAAATAAGATTGGATGCTCCATATTCCCCCAAAAAATGAATAGGAATAAAATTTCTTTTGTGGTACTACTTTCAATGACTCACTCCTACCCATTTTTTTTTTACCACCACTCCAACATTAACCATACAAAACACAACTGCACTTTAAAACGAATCAATAATGAAAGCCATAATTCTAGAAATGTACAATAATATAAAATATGTCATCAATCACTTTCTTTACTCTTTTACACTTGAAAGACCAATGTTCCATTCAACCATGGGACAAATTATCCAACCTTGGAATTTTTCCAAGTGCTGCCATTCACGGCAAGGGAACAATCATGTGAAGGTGGAATTCTGTCATTTGCCAACTAACTCCATCACATCAGTCTTGTACCACTTTTACCTTGTGGGACTTTTGCTCACGTAGTTTATAGAAATTACTTATTAAGAAATTACTGTGTGATAGACTGATAGCTGAATTATATTGAACATGGATTTTTTCTATTCACTTCGAAAAAACACATGTTTGATATGAATTAACACAATTTTACTAAATCTTATTCTGGTTGATCTTTCCGATTTTAGATAAGCTCTCATCCTACCTCAATCTTCACTAACTTTGATATTGTCTTGTGCAAGTAATGGAAATTTTGATAGAATAGCATAAGAAATAGTAAAACACGTACCGTCGAGATGAAAAAACTCGCAAATGTTATTAATTCAACTTGGCTATAAGGTCTAAAACTTGGGTCTTAATGTCATCTCTACCATGATTTCCTTAATATGAATCTAATTTTTAGAATTGAAAGGGCTATTATGAATTTTTTTCTTCTGTGGTGTACTAATAGGAGTATTAATTGTGTATAAGGTCAACAATAATTCACAAAATCAAAAACACATCAAAAAACAATAATTTCAATCGAATCTTAATTCCACAATCTCAAAAAAATCGCTAAATCAAATACCAAGATCAATAAAAATTTGTCGAAAAGATCAACAACTAAAACAATAAAAGAGACAATCCCGTTAAATAAAAGTTGTCTGCTTGGACCCATATTTTATTATTTTTTTGGTCAAAAGACCCAAATTATAAAAACAAAAATTAAGCACCATCCAAACAATCTTTTCAAAATCCTAGTCAAAGATAGATAACCACAATAAAGTCCCGTCAAAATCAAATTCCAACACAAGAAAGCCACTTGGAAAGACAAAAAACAACTAAAGAGCATTTTAAAAAAGAAAATCAATAGCATACATCGAATGAGACACACCAACCTGAAGCATTGTAGCCTAGATGAGTTTGGTGTTTGATTTTTTTTGGTTTGATCCCATTTGTTGCAGACTAAGAAACATGACTCATTGCTTCGTAAGTGATAGTGATTCACAGCCATAGGTAAGAATTTCTAGATTTTTTTTATTGTTTAGCAATGTAGACAAACCGTGAGAATGAGAGTCAAAGGTAGAGAAAGAAAGGGAGATAGGCAGGGACAAATAGTTCGATAGAGGTGTGGAATAATGATGGCTTGAATTGATTCACCATGTATTCACTACATAACACTGTATTTGTGAAAGAATAAGAATATGAAAAACTTAAAATAATTAATCAATATTTATTGCCATTAAGTTACAATAATTATGACGAAAGATAAATTTAATAGAATTGGAAGCGTCTAGACAATGTAAGATATAGACATAGATATAGATACAAATTGGCTTTATGGTGATTATAGTATAGATGGAGGATTAAAAAAATTAAAAGTTTTTTGGGTTAAGGGACTTTTAAGAGTAGTATAGATATAGATATAGATATAAATTATAGAATATCTTAGTAGTATAGATAAGATAAGATTGTTCAAGAAAAATGAAAATTAAAGGTTAAAATTAATTGTTAAAACTCAAATGAATATAATTAAATGTTAAATTTATGCACATAAGAAGATTGTGTAATTAATTGTAAAAAGAAAAAGAAAAAGAAATTAGAGGATTTAATTGACTTTATAACAAAGATCAAGTGTAAAACAGTCAAACAACTTTTATTGACATTTTAAAGTAGTATAAATTATTAATGTTTTATTAGATTGGGATCGTGTCTTTCATTTCTGTACTAGGGAAGGTTATTCTAGCAAGTAAATTACACTATATCTCCTGAACTATTATCTTTGTTTCACTTTATACTCTCAACTATAAAATTGTCATATTGTATTATAAAATATCAATTTTGTTTCATATTACTCAAATAGATAACGACAAATTTGAAAATATGTCAAAAGAGGNCTCAACTATAAAATTGTCATATTGTATTATAAAATATCAATTTTGTTTCATATTACTCAAATAGATAACGACAAATTTGAAAATATGTCAAAAGAGGGAGGGAAACCCCAAAGAACTTCTAGTCAAGTTCCTAATACTACTTTATTTTATCTATTTTGCAACCAAATGATTGCTAAGAATAAAAAGAAGGTCAGCTAGAGAAAAAAAAATTGGAGTTTAGGAAGGGTAAAGTCATGGATGAGTATTTTTCTTGATTTTTGACATGTACATATGCAATAGGAAGTTGTTTGTTGGCAGTACAGACCACTCACATATGTATTTACCATCAAAAAATAGACAGTCGTTATTTATTAGAGTAATATAAAACAAAATTGATACTTTATGATGCAATGTGTAAAATTTTATAATTGATGGTGCAAAGTGCAACAAAAGTAATAATTGAAATGGTAAAGTGTAATTTATCCTATTCTGGCACATGAAGCAAAAACCATAGTTATTTGTTGTATTGTANTAAACAGTCCTTTAATATAAATAAACTTGGAAAGCTCAGAAGGCACTTATCCACATGATATACCACAAACTCATTGAGTGCATTAAAATTGGCCGTGACCATAAAATTTCTCATTCCAATTACTTATATATTATCGGCCAATCAAAGATAGAAATTAAAGGAGTTATATATGATTAATTAGTCCACTCCGATTACTCTTATTCCACACAATAACCGACATTGATAATATGTCACGCCCTGAACTTGATCCTTATGGATTTGGTGCGAGAACTATAATTCCATCAATTTCACCCAATACATAGCACTAAAACCTCAAAATTAATCTTCAAATATTAAAAATAATTACACCCATTACAATCTCTAACTATTGAAACCATTACAGGAAATAAATAACTAATATTCCTTAATCCTCAATCAATATGATTCCTTAATGCCTTTCATTTCATGTCGAACCAACACCTGAGAGGGGGTAAACGGGGGTGAACTTGGGAGGTCTAGTAAGCAATTTACAACATAATATATGGAGTCACAAAGTCGCACAATAATCAAATAATCAACCGTAGAATCAACAAATAAAATAAGTATTTAACACAAATTCCTTTATAAAATCATATGAAACCCCATGATGCAATTCAAATCACTTGTGGCTTCGTGCTTGCTTCATCTTAGCTACATATTAGGCGTTATTCAGTATATCTCATTCTAACACATGTTCATCAGGCTACAATCACATCTGAAAACCATATATGTCACCGAGTATGTCGAAAGCATGCGCCAGTAATTCTCAAGCACTTCACTCACAAAATATTTTCCACTTGACAAATACAAAGACCCATCAAACGAAAGCCTAAATGAACATCACAAATCACGATTAAACAATGGATTGGAATACAATGACAACATCAATTAAACGACTCTTTGCAAAGAAATTTAGATACTGATGCATATTATGACATAAATACTTATTTTCAAAATTGAAGCGATAATATATGAGGACTCAAAAAATATATTATTTTCGATATGGAGGTATTACATAATGAAAAAGCTAAAATCTATCCATTTGATTTCTTTTTCTTTTTTTTTGTTTAATAGTCATGTCTGTCTGGGTCAGTTTATGCACACTACGACTAATCTCATCTCTGGTCTAGTAAAAGACTAGTTTTTTTTTTAGGGGAGGGAGAAGGGAGCTTGAACCCTTGACCTCAATAAGACAACTTTTACAAGGTAAGGAGTATCATTGAACCAAATGCCCATTGATGATAAAAGACAGGTCATTCATGCAGAATTCGAATACTCATGAGAGATAAATCCCTTGTGGTTTGTTCCCCATTTGATATCAGGAAAATACTAATTGGACCTTATTTGAAGACATTATTTAAGGACCTAATGATATACAACCATTGGATTGGTTGTGAGTTTCATCTAACATTGTAACTTACAACTAATTTTATGATTACATTGAAGCCACGTCACTAGATCTCTAAATAAGGTCCTGAATAATGTTCCTATGGCATTGATCTTGATTTCTTCCCATGTTTATTCTGGTACGGCCGCGTTATCACGGTAACTTAGATATATAATTTAAGTGGGTTTTGTTTTACTATGACTATTGAAACAACGAAATAACACAGGCTGGTGGATGGCCTAAGGATTTTTGTTTAATGGGTTCCAATGCATTCAGAAGATCATCTTATTTGTTTTATCGTTTTGCCCATTGCAGTTGAAAATTTTGCAGCCTTGAAGGCTCTTAATACAAGATCGATTTGGTAAAAACTTCAAAACACGAACTATAAACTGTCATGGCTTTGAGGATCATGAATAATTAAACAAGTACGCATAGAGGAGCTCATTCCACACATCAGGTACTCCTGGGAGGCACCAATGTAGGCAATCTGAATAACTTTGAGGGTTTGATAATTGTTCTTCTGTTAGTGGCACCGGCGACCTCCTATAAATAGATGGATGAGCATCTTTGCGGTACTCTGAGGGTTGCGTAATATTGATGATTTGTACTGCTAAACCTCTTGTTCTCAGTTCATCTATTGTTGCTTCTACTATTTGCATCATTCTGTGGTCTGACATACTTCCCCAATACCCATCCTTTGAAATTGGTTCCGTTTCATTGTAGCAGTTTTGATCACTAGCCATGCCCCAATCTGCACCCCTGCAATATTACATATGTTCATGGCCAATGGAATGCATGTTTTGATTTGTGGATTCACTAAGCAAAATTAACTAAGTTAAAAGCAAGGANCAGTTTCATTGTAGCAGTTTTGATCACTAGCCATGCCCCAATCTGCACCCCTGCAATATTACATATGTTCATGGCCAATGGATTGCATGTTTTGATTTGTGGATTCACTAAGCAAAATTAACTAAGTTAAAAGCAAGGAGAGTACTGTTTATATATCATACAGGAAGTGGGAAGGTGAGAGGCTCATGAAGAACAATTGGGTCTTTGTACGGTTGACATGGATATCCAACCAATCTGACCACGTCTTTAAAGCCATCTCATAGCCACGCAACTTCCCGACCTCTTTGTAAATTCCTTCAGAGCTGTTAAATGATTCCCACCTGATTAGCAAGATCATATTAGAAAGAAATTTGATTACAGTGTACAATACTACTGATGTTAAGAAAAGGTACGTTTGTTTTGTGCTTGATTTTCGTAACTAAGGTACTTTGTCGAATGTTAACCAAGATATACTTACAAAAGTGTCATTGTGTTCTCTAACCACCAGGCATAGGAATCAAAGATGAGAATATCAGCATCAGTCCAATGCTTGGCATGCTTTTCAATGGTCTGGATTCTGGCAATTCGGTTTTGCACACGATGGTTTAGCGGGTCATCACAGTTAGATTCGACCAGCAATGGAGCCCAATAGAAACCAATAGAGGCATTGTATTCCTTCGTCATATATATAAGAAATAATTAGCCCATCGAGGCATCTTTTCTGAAAGTAAAAATTGTATTGACCAAATTTTGGTAATCAAGACACCCACAAAAGATAGAAAATATTCACAGTAGAGACAAGTATACAAATCTATAAGGATGCCATGTATAGATGTATCGGGTATTTATGATTATGGAGGAAAGACTAGCAGTATTTTGGAAGTGCCGAGGAAATTTTAACTCACCATGGCCTTGAATGTGAAAAAGGTGCTATTCATGATAATGGATTTGGAGGATGGAGGGATCGATGACTCGATCATGCACAACATTGAAATCCATTGATTCCGATTAACTGAATCCCCAACAAACACCAGCCTCTTACCCCTTAGTTTTTCCAGTAATGCTGTGGCATTGAACCTTGTAAAATACATCAAGCTCATGAAAACATTGTCAACTAAATAGGAATGTGACCTGGTGCATGCCTCAGTGTGTATGTGTGTGTGTGAGAGAGAGAAAGAGAGACCTTGGAATGTCACAATCATGAGGTTGCCATCTCCAGTGTTGATATTTCAAATCCTTCCTCCCAAACTTCTCACAAGCTAAGTCATCCGTCAGGAAAGTACATTGTGCCTCTTTGTATAGAGGGTAGGATTTGTTATCATAAACCCATTTGCCCGAAAATAGGTCGCAGCTTGAAGATGAGTTCTCAGGTGTACCCTGATTTTCAAACAACCATCTGCTATCTTCTTTTAGATAAATGGAAGTGATCACCAAGGCCGTGACAAGGAGGCCTACGAAACAACAAAAATTGTGTATGAATCCCCATGTCCTGATAACTGCTTTGTGAGTACTTGCCATGCTCACCTTCCGCCAACCAAATGTGAAATTATCTGAGTTTCAGAGCAATGAGAAGCAATGGAATTGAATCATAAACATTCAAGCATGTGTGTGTGTGTGTGTGTCCTGCTTGAGTTTACAAGATAACTAAATAGGGAGCAACATTAAACATTGCGTGGGTGAGCAATCATTCATGGCAATTCAGCTGAAAATAGCAAGGAAACACGTTTTTTTGTTAAAAAAAATAGTTCCAATAGAAGGGGAGATCATGCATGGAACTGACCAGTTTTGAATTATAATTTGAGATCATGATTAAAGTACATGTAAAGTTTTTATGTTTTATTACAAAAATTTATTGTTTTTATCCAATTCAAACTCATTGACTGAGATGAACCGAAATCGATATTGTAACCTTATCCTTATATTATTCTTCGACCAGAGAAACATGGACAGAGTTTATGAGGGAGTATACCTGGTCTATTCAGATTACATAATCCAAGGTTAAGGAATTACCTGAAAAGATCGAAAACGGGGCATTCTTTTCTAGCTAATGCAACGTCGAGGAAGCATTGTAATTCCCCGAAAAGGAATCCTGATTTCCATACTATTGCTGGCTGTTGTATTTTACTTCAGATCACTGAGTTTATTAGATACAGAATCTTATTTTCAGTAGTGAGATTTAATCGAAAGATTTGGCAACATTTTTGTGTGTCCGTTTGAGTTTATAAAGCTAACCAACATTGAACACTACATGGGTGATCAATCATGCTGGTCGTTAGGTTAGATAGAAAGAAATGATAGAAAGTGAGAGTGAATGCAAAAAAAAAAAAAAAAAAAGGATAAAATATATATTTTCTAGTGTACGTTTGGTTTGACTGAAAATGTTACTGGAGAGTTGTAAGAAAATTTTTATAATTAGCCGAATGGTCCACATCCATTTTAAATACAAACAGATCCATATATTTTCTCAATACCTATTTTTTTGTTTGGGTTTTAAATTATTTGTAAATGTTGATCTTGTGTTAGGATTAAGAATAACAGATGTGTAAGAGATTTTTTTTTTTTTTTTTTTTTTTCGGAAAAAAAAAAAAGCATTTCTTATTTATAATAAAAATTAATCCCAACACAATATCAACATTGACTAGTAATTTAAAACCCAAAAAAAAAAAAAAACCAAACCAGCCCCTTCCCATTCACCCCTCCACTAGAAACCCAAAACCAAAAACACAAAATCTTTATCAGTGGCTCTGTTTTTACAGGTATCCACAAACCCACCATTTCATACACTCCCCAAGTAGCTCTCTAGTCGGTCAAACCCTCCACGCACCTGTTGTAGTGATGTGTTCAACTTGTTGTATTCGGCGAGCTGGGAGTCCAACCTCTTGATCCATATCATCCTGCCTCAAGAGTTTTTCTGTGTTTCAACTTTGCTGAGCTTTATTTTGTTGTACATCTCAGCAACCTCTTGTTCCTATGGTGTAAAGGATGAATAGGAGAAGAGACTTACCTGTGGGCAAAATCGTAAAATGAGAGTCAACTGCAGCACTTTCACGAGAAAGAAACTATTTCCCCGTTGATTTTGCAAGAAATCAAAAGTGGGATTTACAAGAAAATCTTGTGGGCCCCACTTCTCACTTTCCTGTATTTTACATCAATTTCTTTCTAAACAAAACAGGAAAAAAAATCTGTTTTTTTTTTCTTTCCCACATTTTCCACCATAATCTTGCTAACCAAACGAAGCCGCATAGAAATTTAGCTGTAAACAGCCAGAAAACTTCAAAAATATAATAGAGAAGTGGAGATCATGCATGGAAATGGCTAATTTTACGTTGTAATTTGAGGTCATGATTAAAGCTTATTAGATTGTGATATTGTCTTGCATTTTTATATTAGGGAAGGTTACATTGGCACCTAAAGCAAAACCTTAGTTATTTGCTGTATTGCGTTTTGCTATGTAAAGAATTCCATAGGGTGTCTGCAAGGGCACAAGTTGAAGGTTTTTTTTTTTTTTCAGAAGGTAAATAATTGTATTAATTCGAAAGAGAGATAATATAATAGAGCTCAAAACACATCTCGAGGATACACTTAAATTTCTCAAAATTGGGGCCGTCTTTTCTAGGTAATTCAAGATCACTAAGTTTCATGGATACGAAAATCTTACGTCACTGTGGCTCCATGAAAACAGTTGGCACCGTTTTCATGGCAGAATTGTGCTATAATTTTAGCCGTTTAATCATAGTCCCAAAAATTAATTTTTTGGTATCATGCATCTACCTCATTCAATAAAAATGTGGCACGTCACTCCCCAGAGACCTTTCTATTGTACCTGTCACAGGTGTCAAGTTCGCCACGAATTTTTGCATCTCTGATGGCACTAACTTTTGCATTTAGTCTCAACCAAAGCACACGCTCGAGTTCAGTCAGACAATATGTCAAACAATAGGTAGACACACGGAAAATATGGCACCCCGGTAAGCAACCCAGTTTGGGTGTGACCCAAAGGCCAACAAAGAGGATCAGGATCCTGGATTCATCAATTTTTTTTTTTTTTGGTGCTTCATGAATCTGTTAGCTTGCACTGCACTTCGGTGACAGTCACCACTTGATTAAGCATCAAACAAATCACATACAAGACTGAATAAAGAAAATATGGTATCACACTTTGATGGACGCCGGTCTGATGGTTCAATCATAGCTTGTGGAGTTTTTGATATTAAAGTATAATTTAGGTGCATAAATTAAGTGGCTTTACTATGAACATTGAAGAACTAAATAACACAAGGGCTGGTGGAAAAGTGGCCTATGCCATTGTAATTGCAGTTTTGTTTTCTTTTGGAAATTTTGCAGCCTTGAAGACCCTCAATACAAGATGGAGTTGGTAAAACTTCAAAAGACAGAACCATTTTCGAGTTTTGACGTCATGAATAATTTAACAAGTAGGCATAAAGGAGCTCATTCCAAACATCAGGTACTCCTGGAAGGCACCAATGCTCACAATCTGAATGTTTCTGAGGCTTTGATAACTCCTCTGCTGTTGGTGGCACCCACGGTTTCCTATAAATAGATGGATGAGCTTCTTTTCGGTATTCTGTCAGTTGTGTAATATTTAGGATTTGTACAGTTAAACCTCTCGTTCTTAGTTCGTGTACTGCTGCTTCTGCTATTTGCATCATTCTGCGATCTGACATACTTCCCCAATACCCATCCGTTGTAATTGGCTCTGTTTCACTGTAGCAATTTTCATCACTTGCCATTCCCCAATCTTCACCCCTGCAATGTTCATGGCCATCTTAGTTATATAACAGTAATATTATCAATTGTACTTCATTTTCAGTTGTACTTCATTTGCAATGTTCATGGCCATCTTAATCATATGTTGGTACTTTATAGCCTGGTTGATTTTGTCCATCATTTGCTAATGAAATGCATGACTTGATTTGTGGATTCAATAAGGAAAAGTAAGTTAAGTAAGGAGTAGTGGTTATCATACAGTTTGTGGAAAGGTGAGAGGCTCATGAAGAACAATTGTGTCCTTGTACGGTTGACATGGATATCCAACCAATCCGACCACGTCTTTAGAGCCATCTCATAGCTGCGCAGCCTCCCTACCTCTTTGTAGATTGCATCTGAGCTATTAAATGATCCCCACCTGATCAGAAATAGTTTATCAGTATTTTGAGTCATGTTTATAAGATGACTGATGGTAGGAAAAGGTTCGTACTAGTGTTACTAAGATTATAAGGATTTACTTACAAAAGTGTCGTGTTTTCTAGCCACCAAGCAAAGGAATCAAAGATGAGTATATCTGCATTAATCCATTGCCTTGCGTGCTTTTCAATGGCCTTGATTCTGACAATATGGTCTCGTACAAAAGGGAACCGCGTATCATCACGATTAGATTCCACCAGATATGGAGCCCAATAGAAATCGAACGAGATATTGTATTCCTTCATCACATAACAAACAATACATAAGCCAAAATTCTCTCAATGAGTTGACAATCTCTCAACTTACCAATTTCAAATTTTAAGATTCGATCCAAAATGTACCAAGGTTGGGGGTTTTGGTCAACTACAATTATCCACGGGTAAATTCATCGGGCTCTACTAATAAGTTTTTTTTATAACCTTCCGAAAAAAAAAACTATAAGCCAAGCTTGACTTAGTTGAGAAAGAGTGTTGGAATAT